TTCTCCATCAGTGCTGCTGAATCATCAGATATCCAATGCCTCGGTCGGGCTACCACTTCAGATCCACAGGCAACTCTCGCAGCGGAGTGCATTGCTCGTTCATTTACACTACTACTCCGCAGTGGGTTTCACCCTTGCCTTAGTTCTGATTCAAAACGGTCAGATAAGCGATGATCTGCCAATCGAGTTTGCTGGGATTTTCTCCGACCAGTGAGTTGGAGAGTGAACTGAATCAAAGCTAGCGCATAATAAAATTCAACACAGGTGGTCCAATGGGACCTGTAGTTTTGTACTAAGCCACGCCAACGGTAGCTTATTGCTATGTGGTCGATCTGAGTTAGCGTGTCAGTTGAATTTGAGCACCACGTTGCTGTCCGTTGAGAGCTTTGTCGGAAGTTGATGCTGGATAGGAACAGATGATGTGCTGCGCTGAACTGAAGAAGCCGATCGCTATCATCTCTTCGCTGAAAGGGCAGAGCACAATGTCCGCCTAGACAAGCCTCGATTGGGCTGTTTTTCAACTTGATAGTTGAAATCACCTGCGAGAGCAACTATACCGGAGCGTCGGCTCAACCGAATGGGTTCGGTGAGTTCATCATAAAACTCGTCCTTTTGAGCATCAGAACTGCAGTTGGTCGGTGCATGCGCTGAAACGATGAATAAACACCTTTTGGTATTGCTTCCCATCCGGACGCTGACAGACCCTTTCAGCCGCGTCGCACATAAGCGACTATTGACGGGATCCAATCGAGTAGTGCGGCTTCGGCTGTATTATTCAGTACAGTGCCCACACCATGCTGGCCTACTGAACGGGCTTCGTCATCACTTGACGTATGAAGGACGAACCTCGAAGACAACCCCGGTGCACCTAAGTGGCATATATTACTAGAATCCTGGATTCGAGTCCTCGACACACAGCAGACATCAATCCCCAAAGAGTCCATTGTATGCGCCAAACCCGCAAGGCAGCGGGTAAAGCGAAATAGAGGCTCATTAACTTGGATCAATTACTCCTCTACCATTTTACCGACTGAAAGGCCAACTCAAGTTGAAACCCCAACCTGGAGGACCAGGAGACTGGACTTTGTCTGACCTTTACCCATTGACCTTCCAGGCATGATTACATCTGCGGCTTGACAAAAGGCATCCGGTATCGCTCGTTGGGTCATCGAGGTGCACCAGCCATCACGCCACGTCAAGGTGCAGTCTCGTCGTGAAGGTCGCATGTTCTCAGACGCTGTTGTCGCAAATGTGACTCAATATTTGCACACACGGATCAGACCGTGGACACAATGGATTGTACACAGGCGTCCACAAAAGAAGCAGCAATGACCGACATGAGGGTGACGTGTTCGATGAAGCAGGACATAGATAGTCCTCTTCCACAACGATAGACTTGTAACTTCGCTTCCTTCGGTGTGAATTCACTCTCGTTACTAGATGTAGTTGCCAACTGTCCTGGCTACTGTCTTTATTGTTTTCGGGAAACTCTTGGGAGCAATCACGATTGTTTAACCCCTTTAGATTTTCCTTACAGTACAAGTTATCGACGGGTCTTTGCGTTAATTAAGGGAAGGAATGACCGAAACAAGTTCATTCGTTGTTGGATTACTCACCAAAACCCTTATAAAATTTTACACACATTTTACGATACCAATTCAATCTTGGCATGAGGATATGACTTCTATCATGATAGTCTTACGAAACGAGTGCGACTGACAGTCCATCAAGGGAAGTTACTGAAAACTTCGATTCCAAATGAACAAAGAAGACGCGTATGAAGCACATCCACGCTTTCTGGTTGTAGCAGCGATCATCGACTTCTTTGGGCATCTTGGATGTTAAACCGTGTTCGAAATAAGATTGATCCAATGAGCGGGACACTCACTCCCAATGGATTGTGGTTCCCTCATATCGTCCCTTATCCTAGCTTTCGCAAACCAATAGTTCCTCTTGCGACCCCCGAGAAAATTCATCTAATTTGATCTGAACAACCGTGATCATGTCATGGGCCGATTTCTGTTTTATACGTATTGTTGTACCGCTTTTTGTTAGACAGTCTGATTTCAGACGTGTATAAAACATTAATCGTCACTTTGAATGGGTTTTGAAACACCGTCACGGATTTCAAACATCGCTTGCTCCGTCGGCTTCTGCGACCGTTTGTTGTATACGTTCGTGATTTTTCTCTTCGTAAACTCTATACGTTTCTTCGTTTATGCTTATGTGCACCAGGCTTTCCGCCCACTGATTTGATCTTGTTCTACATCCCTAATCCAATGATAAAATAATCTGACGCGGATCACGAATTGGCATACAGTTTCCTAGTTTTCTTTTTTGGTTAGCATAAACTTTATCATTTGGTACAGCTGACGGAGTTTAGTCGTGGTCCGATTAAATCGATCGATTTCCCTTTTGTCCCGATCCAATTCAGTATCGACTAGTGTGTTGCGAGCCCCACACAAATGACTCATGTGAGTGTTCGCATCGCCTGGCACACAAAAAATAGCATTTACACTTTCCAGTTGTGGTTGTATTGTCACTGTTACACTACTGTTACCGTCAATGCACGTTGATTGATTTACCATAGTTTTCGTCCCTCACGTCATTTGTCCAACGAGACCAAATGATTGACTAATTGAAACAAAAGCGGGCAATCACGTGACCCGGAGTAATTGATTATACATATAATGTACTAGTTTGCCATTGTGCTGCCAAAGTAACCCTTCTGTTTTGTTATAATGTTTGTATTTTGTACTATTTTGTGAGGTGATGTCTACCTCTATGAGTGATTATTATAGGCTTGGTTTACTCTTGTCTCCTCCTTCCGGTGGAGAGGAGAAGACAAAGGATTACTGTCACTCTTGCTCTCTTTTTCCTCATCGCAACACATTTTGCCGTTTGACTAATGTGAACCAGAGCCGAAAATGCGCCCCAAACATGAGCTCGGTCGATTTTCCACTGAACCGATCGATCAGTTTCATGCGTTATTCGAGTTATCCCTATCCCTTTTTGTCACCTTTTTACAATCTAGATTTGTTGGCTGGGTCCCTTGTATACAATAATGCAACGCTGATGGCGTGTCCTGCAGTTACTCCTTCCCCGTCGCTTATAGGTTGTACTAATTTCCGAAGCGGAAAATCGATCTTCCCTGCTTAGTTTCTCGTTAGCTTCTCTAAGATTAAGATTGCCTCACTCAGCGCATACACGTGATTTATAATAAATTGAGATTGATTTTATGCCGCCACACCGTACGGTATGAGGACTGCAGCTATGAAACGTCCTCGGCACAACATGGCTTTACCTGTAGTATTTCATCAAATCGTTTTCGTTGGTACAATACATTTTTACGACCATGGGTGTGTATCGACGGGAACTGATCACCCCGTTTCACTCTGTTCTCATCAGGATGAAGTGAAAAATTTGCAAATGTCCCGTCAAGAACAGGTCCGTTTGGAGCGGGAACAAGCAAAGAAGAACAACGAGTTGCGTCAGTTGCGTGCCGAGTTGGAAGAGCTGCGTCGATATAAAGTCGATTTGACTAAGCGCTTGCAACAAGAGACAAAACGTTCCAGACAAATCGAGGCAATGTCTGCTAAACGCCTGTTAGAACTGAAGAAAGCCAAATCGCAAGCCGATAGTCAGCTGCGTAGTCTGGCTGCAGCACATACGGCCAAAGAACGGGCGTTGAAACAAAAACAGGCCGAGGTGAGTATTTATATATATTTATGCGATCAGTTGCTATGTCTCCCGTATCATGGTTGTAGTATATGCGGTAAATAAACTTCCCCGTTTCTTCATTTTCCTAGTTGGAAGCACTGAAACGCAAAACTTTGGAGCAACAGCGACAACTGTCAATGTCAGCTAATCGCATGACACGCAGCGTTTACGGGACCTCTATCTCCAGCAATTCCACTTCAGCTCCTAAAACACCCACTCGAAACATCATGTCCACCAGCATGTACGGTAGTGTGGGATTCTCGGGTGCACCTTCAGGTCGCACTGTTGAATCCTCCCGTATATTAAATGCCGCTAAAGCCAAATGGAATATGGTACTGCGTCAGCTGGAGACCGAAGTGCAACGACGTCAAACCTCCGCCCGACTCGAGCACGATCTTCAGACTTGGATTCGTGAGCGCGAAAGCCTGGGTCGTCGTCTGCTACGTTTGCAGCGTCGACGCGCTCGAGTAGAAGAATCAGTCACGGATGATACAGAACCGGAGGATGTGACCCCGAAACTCAAAGAATTTGACGAACAGGTATGATAAACGTGTTGTAATTGGCGCATGTCTACAGAGGTTTGCTATCGCTTTACGTTTTCGTGCGATTTGTATTTCTGTTCAAGTTGTTTGGTTATGCACACTAACTTCCATAATAACCTCTCGTCGTGAAACTCAGTTTATGCTTGTGGAGTTTTGTTTTGTAATGCAAATAATTGTCTAGCCTATTTTAGTCGTCAACATCATTACAATAAATTCTGTTCTGCTGCTTTGCATTATGTTGACCCTTAAAAATATCACCACCGTCGGTCAAATTATCGATTAGCAAGTGTAGCTTCCTTATTACCGATTGGGTTTTATTCAATTTACATTTCTCCTATCACATTTTGGGGACAGGTTGCTTCATGTTTTTCGGGCTCAATAGCTCAATAGCCGATTCTATCGAGACCCTTTTTGTTGGTCGCTCCACTTTCCAGAGTTTAAGTTTCCGGTTAACATGAGTGAACGGTAGGTCCTCGTGTCTATGGGATTTAGCCCTTTTAATGAGCATAGCACAACAGTTTGTATCAAAGAAAAACACTAGGATACCATTTATAAACGAAACCATACATTTGTCGGTACGCGTGGCTGGAGTCGGTGTGTAATCAATGGTTATTGGTTAGTTAGCTACTCGGCTGAACCAACTCATCATGAAGAATGGCTCCTAGGCCAAACATATTATGAGGTGTATGATGGACGGATGGTGAAAACATTCATCGAATAAAATCCTTTGCTTATCATGACGAAATATATTTCTCAGTATAACTTTTTCCTCGTGGCCATGAAGTTAAAGTTGCATTTCACCTTATTTTTTATTTTAAGCTGATAATCGCCACCTGTAGTCCTCGGCCGTAATCTAATAGCAGATTCAGGTAGTTAGCGCTTTCAATTTTTGTGTGCGTACTTCTATTTGCGTATTATTACTTTTAGATCCGAAACGTTACAGCACAACTGGAATCGGTACAGGAGGCGATCCGCGAATGTCAGTCCAGCATTATAGAACTTGATAAATCTGGTCCACGAATGCCTGGCACATTACCTATTCGAGGTCGAGCCAACACTGCTCGTTCCATGACCAATCCGACTTTGGCTCTCTTTACTAACTGTACTTTAAGCGAGTCTCGCTTCCTACTCGGCCAGCTCTACGAAAATGCGGTAACTCGTGCACTACACGTGACTCGACTTCAACAATCTGAAGCTCAGCTTCGAGCTAGTTTGTCCGTTTGGGAACAGGAACGCGAGCAGGAACTCGAAGTACTCCGTTTGGCCATGCAGCATGCTGGTTTGCCCATCGAAAGTGTTGACAATGTGCTATCAGTGACTAATTTCAATGATCGTAGTGCGCGAGCTGTCAGTGGCACTGTTTGTCCTCAACATGGTCCAGTCAGCCAATCTGGATGTGATTGTTGCTCTGTCACAAACGGTCTTATATCTGCTCCGCTCTCTTCTGATGATTCCTCGGGCGCAGATGACTCTCATGCAGATGATCCATCCACGGAACGGTCACGGGGTCGATACTATGGAGGGCACCTTATGTCTCATTCAATGTATGCAACCTTGGAACCGATCGCCACTACTCGGTGTATTCGGCGACATCGTAAGCAGTGTCATTTTTTCTCCCATTCGCGCGACATAACGCCTATATTGTTTTAATGTTTCCTCCTCCCTGTTGTTCCTCGGTGTTCGTGTGCTGCAATGCATGCCTGATAATCGTGATTCTTTCTTCATCGAATACGTTAGGCTATCCTATTTTGTGTTTGACTGGGATAGAAGGAAAGTTCGGGGCTCCGAAAATCATTGTTATTCATTCTTAATTCTAAATTATCGTAAAATGTGCTCATCTGATACCTTGATCTGAACAGACGAGTCATTTTCTTCTGTCTCTCGTATCGTTTGTTTTGCATTCCACCCGACTCGCAAGAGCGACTAGTCGTGTTCTTCCCCATCGGGTGTGCCGCATCTCTAATCGGACTTCATTGATGTACCAGTGCACGTTGTTGATGTCTTCTCCATATTGTTTACTTGCTTGCATCATATCCTTATGAACTAAATTACTTTTGTCTCTTTATTAATTGTTTGTTCTACATCAGGTGAGAGCATGACGTAATTGTTTCCGCACATGGGAAAGTCAATAGCCCATTCCTCACCTTTTTCACTATTGCACATGGCGCATCACTTTATTGTAATTCGCATCGTCTTTGGGCCGATCACTATGTTCCGGGTAATTTTCGTGCGCTCTTTGTTCACTCGTATCCCACTGGACTCTATTGATTTTAAGATTTATCAATAGAGACAATAGGTGTGCCCGTACAGTTATACACTATATTGTCACGCTCTTTAGCGTGGTGGTTCGGGTTTGTCACTTATGGCTCATTTTCTTCCCAAAGTAGTCATACCGGAAATTATTGAATCTAGTGTGAGTTGCCTTGCCGCTTCTACCTCCTGCGCTTATAAATTATTTTCATCCTTGAAATGCAGCTCTTCCCTTGTTGTTGGTTATTTCTCACTCATTTGCATTGAAATACATAATCGATATCTGTTTCCCACCAACCCGTTTTCATTCAGTGTCTGAAGCGGACGATTCTAGTTTGGATAGGTGAGTTTCCTTTTATCGGTTTGCGCGGCCAATTTCAAGCAATCGTACTACTCAGTGGATCTATTTTTCCCCTCATACCTTAGGTGAACAAGCATTTCCGATAGACATCCCTGCACATGATTAATAAATGATCTGGTTGAAAATATTCCTAAATCACATATTTCCATTGTCGTCTTCAGAGCGAAACCCATCTGTTTGCCGTATTTGGTTTGTTAGTGAACACCAAAAACGAACAAGTTCACATTCAGAAGCATTACCCACAAATAGCTTTGCGTTTGTCGTTATGCATGCTCTGTCGGTGTTCATCTGTCAATCGTTTTTTCGACCCTGCGTTACCTCGTCGGGGCGTTATACCACGTAATATCGTGCCAACTCAATCTGACTCCTCTTTTTACTCCATTCCTTTTTGCTCATGGTTTTGACCTTACGTGTTTGCTTGCTGTCGCATGTCACGATGTTTGGCACAATCGATTCGATCTAATAAGTCATGCTGTACTCATGGCTCCATTCCGAATGTGATATATGATCTACTTCACGTCCCGTATGCTCTAATGCAAGTGCATTCACTCACCCACTCATTGTCAGAGTAGCCCCGAACGCGGGATCCGGTTTCATCTTACGGCTGCCCATAGCCTTGTATGCTTGTGGTGTCATGATTGCTGGTGTCCAACGACTTGATACTTGTACCAAGGATTTGCTCACACGAATACCCATGGACTGTCGGGTGGTCGGATTTGCTAATTTTTCACAGTATAACTTGTTTGGTCGGATTATATAGGCCCTTTTTACTCATATTTATTCAGGTACCTCCTTTGGCAACTTGACCTCAGTGTGTCCTGACTCGTATCATGCTGGAAATGGGCTGTTATTTTTAGTTCTTTGCAAGAAGGGCTTCCAACCGATGTCACTAGCCTTGACAGATGAACTGAATCCTCTACCCTCCCCCCTTGTTAAGCAATCTGGTTTGGAAACAGCGCTGTTTATCGAATTATTCACGTTTAGTAGTGTTCCACTATCTGAATCTTTCGCTCACATCCTTCTTGCTAAACCTCTTCATTGGTTTTCTTATATGTTGCAACTCTCTGGTTTACTATTTCAGTCAGTCTGTCATTGGCTTATGTCTTGTGGTTATTTGTAACCGTCCAATCTCCACCTCTTATTGCAGGCAGTGTGAACGGACGTTGGAAAACGCTGCCCGTATAGTTAAGGTACGTTATTCTTGTTTTTCCCACCCTATTTTTTTTATAATACTGAAACTTGGTCGTGGACTGACCTCATCCTGTTTGTCGCCTCGTTTCAGGCTCGTGGTCGAATGCTACAAGCACAAGATATGCTGGGCTTGACTGCATCTGCTACAAACAACGATTTGAACGCTTCCGAGCTGATGCCACCGCCTACGGGAAGCAACTTCCTTCGTCGACCTCGAACCGCCATCGGAACTGGCAATGGCATCATGGTTCCCCCGACTCCTCGTTCAGCAAACGGCCCATTGAGTGCCGGTCCATCGCCTGCACTTCGTCGCCGTCTGGTCCCCGGCCAGCCAGTTACGAATCTGCCTGCATTGTGTACCGCTCGACCCGCCCTCCCCGTCGTACATAGTGTTCCTGGTACGATGTCGACTTCGTTAACACTACCAGAAACCAACAGCCTCAACAAGTAAGTTTTGTGTTAAATTTTCACTTGTTTCTCATGGTATCTTATATTCAATAGCTTTATTCGTTGTAGTTTCGTTATAATGACCAACATACTTCTTCGTCTTCTCAACCTTGAAATGTATTCAGCACAGCCAAAGGTTTTTTGATATTTAAGAACTGGACTTATCCTACGTCGATATATATATATATATATATAAACACCTGCTGGTAGACGAGCATGCTGCCAACGCCACAACAATAGCAGGGGGCAGGTGGATTGGAATACAGAAATAATTCTGCTAAGGAGTAGTCCTAACAGTAGTATTCAGGTTGTGGTACAGTATAAAATATCACCGGCTAAGTCCAGATGTTAGGTGTAACGCGATCGCATTGAACGTTTATAAAAATGTGATTGGTTTGAAATGTGAGTTTCCAAGCAACCCTCCTGTGTGAACTATCGGTGGTTCACCGACCCCGTTATATCCCTGGATGTTGACTTCCCCTCCTCTCAGCAATGGTTGAAAGGATGCTGAGCCTCGTCACGTTTTTGGGAAGACGATGTTTCCAAGCCCCACCACCACTGTATAACTTTCCTCATTTCTTTTTATCATAAACCAGTCGTTTGTTCGGTCGCATCTCATGCTTGAAAATTGTTTTTATAGTTATATATTTAATAAAATGAGGTGAAAGGCACTAAATGTCCTGAGTTCCAGTTATCGGTTTCCCCAATCAAACTCAGTCTTTGTGGGAATGCTCCGGGGCAATCTGGGTATCCTGGATAGTTGGCCACATCCGATAGGCGTATGAACTGTTCCCCCCATTCCCTACTCCACCCCACGGCCGTCTGAGTCAAGTTCTTTAACCATAGGCTCCGGGTAAGGTTCCTCATGAAAACCCTCTACTTAGACGTAGGTAACCGGGTAGTACCACGCCCACAATCTAACCATGCTTCGGTCAGGCTCCTGCTTTGGATCTGCGCCCCACTGCCTTATGGGTCAGACTTTTGAGTTAAAGGCTCCGGTTGATGCTCCTAAAGAAAAACCCCTTTGTCTGTGTGGGCTACCGCGAAGTATGCCGTGCCCAAAAGTCTTAGTTATCAATTTGGAAAACCATCTTTCTCAACTGGCCGCTACTTCTCACTCCCAAACTTTGGGAGATCCATCCTGTTTACACCATTCATGTGATATCACTCAGCGATCAACTAATGAGGCCAACCGATCAGACGTCATCAGATTTGCGCCGACTACTGATTGCTTCTGTCAAGCACTAACTTCTCGCACAAGAAACGACACTACCTTACCTGGAGACCGCCAACTTCTTCACAGCACTGGATTCAAATAGACCACATCGCCTTCAGTCACGGCTGGCGTGGATCTATTGAACTTTGCCGCTCCTACTGGTCAACACCCGTGGACACAGACCATGCTCTGCTACAAGCGAGATTCTCCCTACGCCTTGTAAACAACCACGGAAAACGGATGCCTACAATACAGTATCAGCAACGATTGCAAATCGGCTTTCGGAGCGGAACTATCAGATCGCCCCTCAGGTCGACCGTCAGCCGGAAGACTCAGTGAACACTGGACGACAATCAATCCAGATTTTAATCAACATAACGACTAATTCTGGCACACGATCAAATGAAAAATGATGAATCTCCGCGACCTCGATTGCCTTGCTGGACGCTCGCAAAGCCATTCTTCGGATTCAAGGTACTACAAGGCACGCGAATCCCTTAAACGCCAACTCATCAAGAGTCTAAAGAATAATCGCGAGAAGTGGTGGGTAGGAAAGTGTATTGAGATGGACAAGGCTGCGGCTATCGGCAATAGTCGCAAAATTTTCCGAGTAATTAGGAGCACAGGTCCAAGGAAAGCAGGCATAAGTGAGGTAATTAAGGAGTCCGATGGCATTGATTCATATTCAGCAATGTCGTCTAGATCGATGGGCAGAACATTTTCAGGTACAGTTCTGCTGGCCCTCGTGATCACAAGCGCTCCCTATACCCGGTTCAACTGTGCAAATACTGCCAGTTGACATCAGTCCTCCATCTGAAATGGATGTTACCCGAGAAATAAGCTATCTCAAAACGTATAAAGCTTCCGGCCCCGANCTCCTGGGCTCAGTGGGAGAGAGGGAAGAGGTTCCAACTGAATGGTGTGAATCGGTGACCATACCGAATTACAAGAAAGGCGACAAGTCCTCTTGTGAAAACCACAGGGGAATTTGTTTGATCAACATTGCCCCTAAACTTCTCGCTAGCATCACTCCGTCTATCTCAATATGTTAA